CTATTGCGACATTGAATTTTCTCCTTGTCTGCCGCACCGGCGGGTAAAGTGGGTCGACGTTCAGCCTATGTATGGTGATATCCCTTGGGATTCCTGGCATATCTGAGTTGGAGAAAGCAAACAAATCAGAGTTGTTAGTTAAAAACTCACGATACTTACCTGGCTCCGAGAGGTTGTGTCCAATGTAAGATCTTTCTATGCTATCGGTGTTATCCAATTAGATGGGATCGAGGTCTTGTACGGTTACCTTGCAAGCTTCTACAATGTCCGGGTCTTTGATGGCTTCTACGTGCCAGTCGGGTTTGGTGCCCGACACGGTTGATTGCTATGCTTCCACACTCGCCCCTTTTAGTTGTTTGGTGTGCGTGCAATCTTGGGTGATCCGGTAGCATTCTTGGGAGGTAGTGGCTTGCCTCGGATGCTGAATATACCCCATGGGGTGGGAAATTTGATTACTTGATAGAAGCTCGAGGGGACGGCTCGCATGGCGTGTATTCATGGTCGTCCTATGATGGCATTATAAGCCGTTTCCTGGTTCATGACGTGGAAAGTTGTTTCCAAGGTGACCCCTCCTGCTAGGACAGGTAGCACTATTTCTCCAGATGTCCGCTCTATGCATTATTAAAACCCGTTAGTGTTATGCAACGCGATATTATCTTATCCTTGAGCCTCATTTGTACGAGGACTCGTGGGTGAACGTGCCGCTTCCGTCATCCATCATGATTCTTTTTACATCGGTATCAGCGATGCGTAAAGTTATAACTAATGCTTCATAGTGAGGGAAAGACAAACTGTCGGTATCTGACTTTTCGAAGATGATAGTGTCTTCGAGGTCGTTATACCGTTCGTGGGCGACTGTCCGTTTGAGTTTGTGCGTGGTGGTGAAATTCACGCGGTTGATGACCGTATCATCGCTGCTGCCAATGATCATTTGTATGGTACGGGCCGGTGATGATGGCTTTGGGGGTCCTTGAGGTGGATCGCGCCCTCGAACGAAGTTGGCCCGTCCTTTATCGCTTAGCCGTTCTTTTAGGTGCCCTTGGTTTAACATCGTCACTACTTCTTGCCGCAGACCTATGCAGTCTTCGGTCTTGTGTCCTCTTTCTTGGTGGAGTTCACATAGGACGTTTGACCTCCTGGTGCTTGGATCCGATTTCATATTCTACTGCCACTACATCTTCGTGCCCAGTTTTTCCAGTGCGTACACTATCTCTGAAGGGGATACACAAAAATTATGAGCAGATAATAGTGGAGGCATACCTCTTTCGTTTCGGAGGGGTGTAGCATGTCGGGGCATGATATCCATGTGTCGTGGGGGGGGGGGGGGGGGTTGGATGTTCGGACATATGGCTGATGCCTTTCTCGATTGAAACGTAGTGGTTGGTCCCTTCGCCCATCATTACGTCGATCTCTCCTTGTATCGGTCTGGACTGATGTTAATCACTGAAGTGGGCCGTTTATGTCGGTCCTTGTCTACCCTTACCTCGGCGCAATAGGCGTTATGGATTTCTTCCCATGTGGTAGGGGGGTACTTCATGAGTCTGCTGAGCAGTTTTTTGGTTGCCTTAGATCCGTTCCTATTTAACCCATTTTGAAAGGCTACTACTGCCATCCCTTCCGACACGTTCGGTAGACTCATCCTTACTCTATTGAATCGGGCCAGGAAATCTCGCAGTCCCTCGCCCGTTGTTTGCCTGACGGCGAAGATATCGTTGACCCTAGCTTCGGCCTTCTTTGCCCCCGTGTGAGCAGTGGAGAATTTATCTGCCATTTCTTCAAATGTCGATATCGACTATGCCGGTACCTGGGAATACCACGTCAATGCTCCACCTGTCAAAGTCTCACCGAACTTTTTTAGCAACACTGACGATACCGGTTCTTTTGATAGATCATTGCCCTTCACTGCAGTGACGTAATGGATTAATTGATCCTTTGGGACTGTGGTTGCGTCGTATATTTTCAAGTATGGTGGCATTTTGAAGGTCTTTGGAATAGAATGGGGCGTTGCCCTTTCGCTGTATGGTTGTTCGATGAATCAACCCACATCGGGTTTCGGTAATAGCTTCGGAGTGCCTGGTATTTTGTCAACCCTCTCCTGATGTTCCTTCATTTGGTCGCGGAGTGTTTTGTTCTCGTTTTCCATCTCTTCCATTTTCCTTAAGATGGCCATGAGTGCATCGTCACCTGTATTAGCAACAGTTCGGGTGTTACCTGTTTGGGTAGTGCTTGGCTCATCGTCGGCAGCTGCGATTTCCGCAGGTAGCGAGTTTTTGACATCTCTTTGAGTGGGTTTCTCGAGCATGTTGCTCAAGGCACTCGTTAACCACTCTTCTAGCAGCTTCTTGACTGCTGGCGGTGCTTCCCCTGCCGCGGATGTTGAGGCTCCCCTTACACGCAAGATCGTTAGATCCCCGTGCGGAAGAGGTGAGATCTCTCCCTTCGGTGTGTCTCTTGGCGTTGTATTCTCATTGTTTTCTCTACCGGCCTCTTTGAGGGAACTCAGGAGATTACTCGAGATGCCTGCTACTGCCTTTAGCCTCGCTTCCCTTTTTCCCGCCATTGTTGGTTCTTATGAAGTATGAGGAAAAATGGTTATCACTTTCAAGAATCTAGATGAAAATTATGGTTTCAGCTATAGAAATCCCCACAGACGGCGCCAAATTGTTTGACTCAAAAGATATAAAAACCTCTTTGAACAAATCAATCGAAGGATCAAGGGGTAAATCTTAGCAAAATATAATAAAAACTAGAAAGAGTAAGTGATGAAGATATGAATGCCAATAGATTTACTTTTGTTCTCAAATAATGTTTTCGTTACAAGAGTTTTTCGGTCCCCTTTACAAAGTTCTTTGGTCCCCTTATATACTAGAGAGAGACTCTTCTAAATTGTCAGAAGCAAACTACCAAGAATATTCGATGGAATATTCCCAATGTCCCCTAATGGGCTTACAATATCACAAGGGCTGTACGGCCTCTTCTTTTGTCCTAAGGTCGCCTCTTTCGGGACATCGACTCGAAGGTACCCGATCGTTTGTCGTACCCTTCATAGGTCGTAGTTGGTCAAATTTGGACCCATACAGTATGTCCAGTAGAGGGAGATCCAGCTATTGATCAATGACTCGAGCCAATTGTCAGATTTTTCATGTTAAGGTAAGCCACCACTACCTCGTGGACGCAACTTTAGATTCTATCCTTTTATTTCTTGTTATGACTCTATTATCGAGCTGCAACTCGTGTCAGTTGCATTCAGATTCTAGTATTGTCACGACCCCAAATTCTCACTTTAGGATTTTGTGATGGCACTGCCACGATCCGAAATTCCCATCGCCGGGATCGTGATGGTGCCTAGCAATTCTTTTGCTAGGCAAACCAACGTTAGAACATATTATCCATTTTTATCAGTCTAAAATTAATCAATGAAGGAGAACTGATTTAACTGCAATAATCTAAATGTAGATGCGGAAGCTAAAATCGTAAAACATCTGCTACAAATCCCTGAACCCGGTGTCATAAGTGCACGAGCTTCTAGAGTGATACATATAAGGGTCTGAAATAAATACAAAGTTGTTTGAATGAAAATACATAGCTAAAATAGAAAGAGGATGGGGACTCCAGGAGCTGGGGGCGCTGAACAGCCGTACCTCAAGGCTCCGCAAATGTCCAATCCGAGCACACTAATAAACGTCGCTGGGCCCGACTCCAAAATCTGCACAGTGTGCAAAGTGTAGTATCAGTACAACCGACCCCATGTACTAGTAAGTGCCAAGCCTAACCTCGACGAAGTAGTGACGAGGCTAAGGCGGGTCACCTACACTATAACCTGTACGCGGTATATATAATACTGGCAGAATAATAAAAATACTGAACAGAATTAAACAGTCAACTGCAAATAATAACCATAGCCTCAAGAATAGACCAGCGTCATCCAGAATTACCAATCTTTAACTGTTCAAATAAAAATACCGGAGAACCAACACAACTCAAGAAATAAAAACATATAGGTTGTTGTGGCGTGCAGCCTGATCCCACCAGACAACACAAAATCCTCCCTTATTTCACCGTGATAGCATCAACAACAGAGATAATATACATAAATATGTTGTGGCGCGCAACCCAATCCCACCATAGAAGAGGTAGATGTGGAGGACTTGGTAGAGTGGGTGGTGGCTCTTGAAGGCCAAGAGTACTAGAAAAGAGAGCTCGAATTCGAGCCTTTACACTTAGAAGAAAGAAAGACTCCTCCAACTAAGCCATCGATTGAAAAGCCACCACAGTTGGAGTTGAAATCGCTACCATCTCACCTTAGGTATTCTTTATTGGGACCTAACTCTACTTTACTTGTTATTATCTCATCTAGTTTGTTAGATGTGCAGGTAGAACATCTTTTGCAGGTTCTGAAAAAGTGCTAGATTGCAATTAGTTGGACCATTGCAGACATTAAAGGTATCAGTCCGGCCTTTTATATGCATAAGATTCTACAGGAAGTTAGGCACAAAACCTTCCAGAGAACATGAAAGAAGGTTGAACCCAACATGAAAGAATTCGTGAAGAAGGAAGTAATCAAGTGGTTAGATACGAGAATCATTTTTCCCATCTCAGACAGCAACTGAGTAAGCCTAGTTCAGTGTGTTCCAAAGAAAAGATAAATGATCATGGTGCAAAACGAGAACAATGAATTGATCTCAACAAAAACAGTCACAGGATGACGAATTTGTATGAAATACTAAAGATTGAACAAGGCCACCCGAAAAGACCATTTTCCCTTGCAATTCATTGATCAGATGATAGATAGATTGGTAGGGAGGTCGCATTTTTGCTTCTTGGATGGATACTCAGGGTATATCCAGATCTCCATTTCCCTAGAGGATGGGGAGAAAACATCATTCACCTTTCTATATGGAATTTATGCTTTTTTGAGATTTCTGTTTGGCATATGCAATGCGCCTGCCACATTCCAAAGGTGCATGATGTCCATATTTACTCACATGGTAGAGGATATAATGGAGGTTTTCATTGATGATCTCCTAGCGGAAGGGAACTCGTTTGATGATTGCCTTGTAAATCTGAGAAGAGTGCTAAAGAGGTGTATGGAGACTAATCTAATGCTAAATTGGGAAAAGTGTCGTTTCATGCTACAGGAAGGTATAGTCTTGGTACACATGATGTCAAGTAAGGGAATTGAAATGGACCACGCTAAAGTTGATGTGATAGAGAAGTTGCCACCGGCCACTTCTGTCAAAGCTATAAGAAGTTTCCTCGGGCATGTTGGCTTCTACAGGCGATTTATAATATATTTTTCCAAAATCTATAACCATTTATGTAAATAGATGGAACACCCCTTTGTGTTCTCTGATGATTTCAGAGTAGCTTTTGAGGAGTTGAAAAAGTGGTTGGTGACAGCACCCATGATAGTTGCACCTGACTTGGAGCAACCATTCAAGCTGATGTGCGATGCAAGTGACTATGCAGTGGAAGCAGTTCTTGGGCAGCGCAAAGAGAAGGTCATGCGCCCAATATACTATGCAAGTAGAACCTTGAGTGGTGCCCAGCTAAACTACATTGTGACTAAGACGGAGATGCTAGTAGTGGTGTTTGCATTTGACAAGTTCAGGTGATACCTGATAAGCTCAAAGGTAATCGTTTATACCGACCATGCTGCTCTCAGGTACCTAATTGAGAAGAAGGAATCAAAGGTGCACCTGATTTGATGGGTGCTATTGTTGCAAGAATTTGACTTGGAAATCTGTGACCTAAAGAGAACGGAGATGATCACTTATCCGGGCTTGAAGGAGCTGAAAAGAAGGTTGAGGTGGAAGAGATTGTGGAGACCTTCTCGGATGAACAATTGTTATCCACTTGCCTAGATGTAGCGGTATGGTATACAGACATTGCAAACTACCTGGCGAGCGGTATTGTTCCCTATGAATTTTCCTCTATGCAAAAGAAAAAGTTCTTACGTGATTCTCGTATGTACTTCTGGGACAAACCATATTTGTTCAATATTTGTATTGATAACATGATTCGGATGTGTATCCCCGTGATGGACCAGGCTTCTGTTTTGCAGGAATTTCATTCTTCACCATATGGAAGCCATTTTGGAGGAGTGAGGAAAGTTGCTAAGGTGTTGGGATCGGGCTTTTATTGACCAACGTTTTCTAAGAATGCACACTTTTTGGTGAAGATCTGTGATGAGTGCCAACAGACGGAGAATATTTCCTGTCGACATGAGATGCCCAGGAACCCAATTCAAGAGGTGGAAGTATTCGATGTAGAGGAAATCGATTTATGGGACCATTTGTTAGCTCATATGGAAACAAGTACATATTGGTAGTTGTGGATTATGTCTCGAAATGGGTGGAAGTTGTAGCACTCCCGACGAATGATGCAAAGGGGGTCATTAGTTTTCTGAGAAAAAATATCTTCACCTGATTTGGCACTCCAAGGGCGATCATTAGTGATGGAGGCACCCACTTTTGTAACCGTGCCTTTGCAAAATTGTTAGAGAAATATGGATTTCTCCATAAGGTTGCCACTCTGTATCTCCCACAAACAAGTGGGAAAGTAAAGGTGTCAACCAGAGAAATTAAGAGTTTGTTCACCAAGACGGTAAATGCTACTCGAACTGATTAGGCAAGAAAATTGGATGATGCGTTATGGGCTTACCGCACTGTATTCAAAACTCCGATTGGTATGTTACCATACAAATTGGTGTTTGAACAGGCGTGTAACCTACCAGTGAAGTTGGAGCATTCTGAGCATTGAGGCAATTAAATCTTGACATAGAGGCTGCTAGCCTGAGTAGAGTCACAAACCTGCATGAACTTGATGAGTCCGTTATCATGCTTTTGAGAGCACCAGTTTGTACAAAGAAAGGATGAAGATGATCCATGACAAAAATATTGTGGAGAAAATTTTTTAGCCAGGAGACATGGTTCTATTGTACAACTAAAGACTGAATTTTTTTTCCAGGTAAGTTGAAGTCACGATGGTCAAGACCATTTCGTATGCAAGGGGTACATCCTAAGTGAGCAGTTGCAATTGAATCGGAGGATGGAGTTCAAAAGTTCACAGTCAATGGGCAAAGATTAAACACTACCTTGGCATGGGCAATGAGGAAAAAGCCGTGTCGGTAATATATTTGAAGGAACCCTAAGTGTTGAGTAAACATCGATCATAATTGACTGCGTCGTGCTGCAACGTTAAATCAGTCACTTTATGGGAAGCAACCCATTATGATGTTGTATTCGTCATGCCGTGACGGTAACTATGGCACTTTTTGGGGAGGCAACCCAACTATTAGAGTAGTTTAGCTCAGTTTTCCTTTTTGTTTTTAATTTGGGGGGACTAATAATTTGGTTTGAGTGATTTTAGGTTGGATGATTATGTACGGGCGCCGTAAAATTGAAAGTAAGTGATCAGGAGTCAACAATGAAGTGAAAAAGCACAAAATCACGCCCCGAAAAGTGCAAGGCGAAGTTCTTGGCTCGCTATGTAGCCTAGGCTTCACGAGCTCAAATGCCTGCTTCTTCGCGCAACCATCTAGGCATCACGAACTCGAGCGCCCCCTCCCTCGCGCGTTATCCTTCGCGTCACCCAACCCACAGTGCACGTTAGGTCTCATGCCGCTTGGTCTAGCGCAAGTTCTGCCTCGCGGCACTCGTATGTGCATATATATATATATATATATATATATATATATATATATATATATATATATATATATATATATATATATATATATATATATAGAGAGAGAGAGAGAGAGAGAGAGAGTTTTCTTTTCTTCTTCTATTTCATTTAAAATACAAAACACACACACATTTAAAAAAATAAAACGCCCAGCCGTCCCCCGAAACCCCTCTGCCCTGTTCTCTCTTTCTCTCTCTCTGCTAAAACTCTATCCCCACTCCAACTCCCCATAGCCATTCGTCCTCTCCACACCTCACTCACAAAAAATCCATCGAAGCATCTCTCACACACTCATACAGCCACGCACAACGCTAATTGATGACCACTCATCTCTTTCTCTCAAATATCTAAGGTGTAATTTCTAACTCTTTCTTTTTTAATTTCTACTTGGTTGCGGTGATGACCTCTTGCAACTTTTGGGTATGTGCTTCATAGTAACAATATGCATGTTTGTCCCAACCCCATGAACCCCATAGGAGTGGCATTGTTGTTGCTTAAATGAGTATTCACACTCAATTCCCAAGCCGATTTGGGAGGGTAAGGAAATCTCTCATCCACACAAGCACTCCCGTGGAATTAGTGTACGCTAAGTGTTTTTCAAAATGCCTTAAAGGAATTCTTTATCCCCATTGGATCCCGAGTCTACAGGATTTTTATACTAGTGCTATGTATCCATGCATCCCTTGAAATATTAAGTGTATGGTGGTTCACAGGAGCTATGCTTGGTGGTTATATGTATGGGAATTGTATTAGGTGTCTTTGTGACATTGATTGAATGGATGATATAAGATATAAAGAGGTGAAGTCTGAGTAGGCCCAATTTTGTTGAAGACCATGTGCTTAACTCTTAATTGTGTGGTCGTACGAACATGTTTTGAATTGATCAATTCCTTATAAGGTTGACTAATGTCCACTTGTGCAGGTGAAAAAATGGTACATCCAAAACTAAATGCACAACTGACAAACAAAGGAAAGGGCAAAGCGACTAGCCCCACTAGAGGCAAGACATCATCCATGCCTCCACTGAAAAAGAGAAAAGGATGAGAGGCCACTTCGAGTCATACTGAGGGGTTGCAAGAAGTAGCAGCTATGGAAGCCTCACGCCCAAGGCCTTAGGGACAACGTGCATACGGGATTAAGAGTATACCCCCATGCACCTAGGCATTGTACAAGATTTATCGGCCTAATCATATATACCCTGATTTGGCTGTTCATGAGCGCCATTTACGATCTAAGTATCCGGAAATATGGAAGGCTATTCATGATCTTGGGTTGAGCTATGTGTTCGGAACCCCGGGGATATATGTGTTCGGAACCCTGGGATATCAATGTCAACCTTGTTCGTGAGTTCTATGCCGGATATGATCTGGATGATCCAGAGCAGTATGTGCCCATTCGGGGACGATTGATTGATTTTTCTACATCGGCTATATGCAATTACTTGGGAACTCCGGATGTTCTACATGAGCAGTTGGGTAACATTATTGCCCGCCCAACATATCAAGAGCTTAGACACACTTTATGTGGTGTCAATTCTACAGTTTCCTGGGTCAGTGACAAAAAGACTCAACGTCATAAGAAATTTCCAAAGAAGAAAATGATGTTGGAAGCTCAAGTTTGGTTAAAATTGATCAACACGCGGTGCTACCGTGCAACCATAAGATGATGATCGGCCATGAGAGGGTATGTTTTCTTTACTTCTTAATGACTGGCCAAAAGGTGAATATGGGCAGGTTCATATGCCACTAGATGGCGCAAGTACGAAAGAGCAAGAGGATAGATAAGTTATTCTTTGGCAACATGATGACATAGTATATGAGAAAGGAGGAGGTAGAGCAGGAGAGAGAGTTTGATATAGTCATTCCATCACTCCTCCGAGGGACTGACATCACCAACGTCCGGGCGAAGGAGGAGAATGATATTGTCTTTCCCTACTGGTGCCGAGCGCAATGATAGTGACGATAGCTTCATGGACCATTTCTATGGGATGATGGACTTGCAACTACAGATTGGAGGGAGGTCGGCTACTCCGGAGGAGAGGGACAACTTAAACAAGGGCCAATGTCTGGCTGGGCTTGGTGAGGGCCAGATACTACCTGGGGATGAGGATGTCAACACGCCTGAATGTTTAGAGGCCGAGCCAGAGCAGTTTGAGGAGGAGGCTGGTGAGGATGTTGAGGGGGGATATGATGATGATGAGGATTTGTCAGCTGGGGATGGGGCCTTCTATGATGAGGGCGATGATGACGACGGATCAGGGAGTTTTTCCTACCACCTTACTTGTGTTTTATTTCTTTATACATCTACTGAGTATACTGCATGAATTAAGTGTAGGGTGGGGGATTCTCTATGGTATGTAAATAATAGATAAATTGATAGTTTCTTATTTTCATTTTAGCATAATAGTTATTAACTTCTTCTTTTCTATTTTAGCATAGAATTTGAAAAAAAAATACAAAATTATTTTAGTATAGTATTCTAGCTTTAGTCTTCAGCTTTTAGGATTGATTTCAGTAGTTTTATTTGGAAAAAAAAGGTAAAATACATAAAATCAAAAATAATAATAATAATAATAATAGACATGATTAGACTTTTCTCGACGATGGATCTTCTAGACAGTTTTATAGAGATTAAAGTCTAACCAAAAGCGCACACACAAAAAAAATGGAATATTCCAAAAATATGTCTTTTTTTAGGTAGCAATAATCCCCTGTGATTTTTCTTTGTACCTCGAATCTCTTCCATGTGATGTAGTTGAATCGGGTAATAATTTCTTTTTTATTTTTAGAGTAGGTTAGGATGGAAGAATAAAAGGATGAAAAAAAAAAAAGATTTCTAGGCGCCCTTTTGCCTTGTTTGATAGAAGCATATTTAGGCTCTAGCATGTGTATTACCTTCCATATATTTGAAGTTGGTTATGATGCCTTGTTGAGTTAGATAGCATGTTTATTAACGCATATGTCTCATTTTCTTGGCTTGTGTTCATTTTGTGCTTGATGCTTAATAATTTGCGGCTCCGTAAATACGTGTTGGAGCAAGGAGTCAAACGGGTTTTCCCTCCATTCCTCTTTAATTTGTAGTTTAATGCTTTTGAATATTATGAACACTGTTTATATAATTATGAGTAGCTAAGCTTTCTCATCTAGGGTTTGATGGAACCTATTGGAGGATGATTTTTCACTGTGTTTAATATAAATTTGCCATTGATTTGTCTCTGGTTGTTCAACTGCATATGTTCATAGTTGTTATTTGAAGAGCTCTCAATTAACTGTACTTATTTAGTGTGTACTGCTTGGAAAAGGGTATGCATTCAGGTTGTTGTTGAATAACATCACTCCTAACGTATTTGAAGAATCAATACACTGAGGGTTTAAAGGTGGGATTAGGAATAATGAAACCTACTTGGTGCGATTGTAGTGAGAGGTGAAATAGTGCCAGCTAGCGTAGTTCAGAAGAATACGTCTAGTAAATTGTTGTAATTGCTCGGAAGAGAATTACGAAACCCAAAGTACTCACGATTGGTAGAGAATACTTAGGCAAATTTATAGGAAACGTAGCGAGGAAGACTTCAATAATTGGGGAAATCATTACCCTAGACTTTTCCAATCTTGTTTAATAACATTTACTCTGTTAGTTATAAATTTACACCATTTAATCACTTTGCTCTTAGTTAATAACCGCTAAAGTTATTAACTAAAGCTTCTGAAGGTTGATTACTTGAATTCTTGCAAAATTAGTTGTCATAATTAGTAGGTTAATTTTTTGTGGGATTCGATTCCGGACTAGTAAACCGAATTAAATTTGCAACGACCGCTTAGTCCTTTTTCTAAGGCATAGTTCGGCATGATTAGTACTAGATTCATATAAATCATTTAGGATCTTCCGATGTAACTTCTCTGGTATCTAAACAAAACAAATTGATATAGTTACAACTATATATT